AAAAAAAAAAAAAAAAAAAAAAAAAGTGACTGGCAAAGTCAAAGTACCATGTTTTTCCACTCACGTACAAGAGACCCTCTGAAGTGTGTGTGTGGGGTTGCGTGTGCTTGTGCGTGTTGTACCTGGAGTGATGATTATGCTCTGGGCGTCTTTAATCATTTCGACGGTCTGGTCCACGTTGACCTCGGTGTGTGTCCCGGTGATCTCCATGGGTTTTCCTGTACCGGTGGAAGTCGTGCCGTAGCCTCCCAAGATCACGCTAACCAGTGAACGATTCATAGCCTGAGAGGGGAGAGAGAAGTTTTGCAATGAATTACATTACCTTAACTTTATTGACTGTGTACAGCAAAATACAGCAATCAGAGGACATTTGAAAGGGACATTTCCTCAAAACACACATTTGTGACCTGAGATTTGTATTTACAAGAAGGACTCTACTGCGGTAAAGTTAGAGTCCCTCCTGGTGGAAAGGAGAGGAACAACCACATTCAACTGTGCTGATCTACAAACCGCATCAAATGCAACAGCAGTGGTGCCGAGACTCAAGGCAGCAGCTCTACGGCGCAGGTTTTTAAAATTGGCTCCACTCACCACACACATAATGTATGACAGAATGGCTCCAGACGACCCAATGAGAGCTCCGACGATGGTCAGCAGGTTGTTGTTGAGCAGGAAGCCCTCGGCACACAGGGCCCAGCCCGAGTAACTGTTCAGTACGGTGATTACCACCGGCATGTCAGCGCCTCCAATAGCTGCCGTCAAGGTTACACCCTGAAGGAGAGAAGAAGAACGCAGGAGAGGAGGTTCATCCACTGCTGTAATCAGATTAGCTCTTTAATACAGTAAACGACACAGCAGATGTGATGATCAGCTATATCCCTCCATAACAACTGGAACTAGCTAGAGATGTACTTTAATTCTTGGTGCACATCATAGATTGTTCTAGTTAACATACTGTAGGTGTACTTTTAAGAACTGAAGGAACACACACATGCACAATAAATTATATATTATAATCTAAAGACTGATGAGCGATACGCTATTTTTAACTATTTTTTTCCAGATTTTGCTACCGAGTGCAAAAACGGACCCTAGAAAAACACACAGACCCGACATGCACACACATGCGCCGTACCATGACAGCGGAGAGAGCAGACACAGATCCGAGACAGGTGATGCCTGTGATGTAACTGGGATCCAGCATGTAGGGAATCATCCCACCAATACACGCTGCCATGAGAGTGGCGTTCAGAGCATGACGACCAGGGAGCGCCAGGGCGGCACTGCTCAGAACACCTGCATGGAGAGAAGAGGGAGGGAGAGGCAGGATTTAAATCGAGGATTTAAAATAAAATACCACTAATAACTGCACATAAACACTTGTGTTTACATATCAATCAGCTGTAACCTTAGTCTTACAAAGGCATGAATCAAAACAGCAGAAAAAAGCTTTAATAGCAGTACCACTTGAGACTTGTCATTAACTGAACGTCATGATCATACATAATTTGCCCTCATGAAACACTTAAAGTCAACATAGACATTACAGAGTGACTGCTAGGACTGGTGCCAGCACATGAACCCGACGAACTATTTTTTTTTCTCTCTTTCCCCTTCACAGCATACAGCAGCAGCATGAAGCGTCAGACCTGCTCTTGTTGATAACTACAGTTCGGCCAAGCTGACATAAAAAAATAAAAATAAAAATACTATTAATCCTGTTTCGAGTGAAGTTCATTCATATTGACAATCGCAATATGTTCCTTTTATTAGAGCTAGACAGCTTTACAGCTTTACAAGTCACTTGTGATGATATCCACAGTTTAACCCAACAATTAAAATTCACCACAATTAAAACTTATTGTGAGTCTTTAACTCGATCCATGATAAAATCCCATATCGTCTACTTTTATTACCCCTAAATATTAAAGTGCAATAAAATGTACAGCTCACCTAACTGTTGGTTATGGACTGACAAAGAATCAAACGAGTAAACTAGGTTAACAATTAGTCAGGTAATGAAATACCTAAGCTGTTGCAAATATAATAAAATGAAATACTAAGTGCTAATTCATGAAATCATAAGATCATAAGGATGTGTAAACACAAATAGAACAAAGAAGAATAGACATTTTGGGAGCCACTACCAATATAATCGTCTATAAATGTTCTTCTAACTTGTACCATGTAAAGGAACTATTTTAAAGAGTCAAATCCCAAACATACAAAGGGCAAAAGTTCAGGCCTACTCTTTGTTTACCTGTGTCAACATCTGTACTTTTAAATACCATAAAAGCATTAATGTAGGTTCTGTGCATTAGCATACTGGAAATGTAAATGTTTGCTCTGCAGGGAATATTACGCGTACACACACACGACTGTGCTTCTCTCACCTTGCAGTTTGCCATACGCAACCAAAGAGCCACTGAAAGTGATTCCGCCGATGTAGGTGCCGAGGTACGCGACTATCTTGGTGAGGTTGGCGGCAGGGTCTGTGGCAAAGTGGGGGTACTCGATCATGTATTCGGCCACACATGTGAGCACGGCAGCCATCCCCACCAAGCTGTGGAAGGCAGCCACCAGCTGGGGCAGGTCGCTGATCTGGATCTTCTTAGCAATGGCCAAGCCTTAAGGGGGAGAGAGAGAGAGAGGGAGAGAGAGAGAGATAACAAATAAATAAAGTGCAGTGGCCCTGAAAGACCCACACACTAATAACATGTAAATCACAAGCACGTGCACACACACACACACACACACACACACACACACACACACACACACAC